GTTTTCCCCCCTTTTTTTTGTTAGACAACAAAAACCAGTGTTTGGGTGATACAGAAAAAAGTGCCCCCCCCCCACCCCGGGTGAATAGAAGACCACACACCCCCCCATACACGCCCCCCCCCCCCCCCCCCCCCCCTCCTCCTCCTCCTCCTCCTTCCTCTTCCTTCTACACTTGAAAGTTCACTTTTGGAAATGTTCACGTGAACTGCTTGAACTTCATTCATTATGTCATCACCCATCATTCCGCCGGTGTGTATGCGTCATGCGTGTGTGGAAGATGGTTGATTGGTGAGCAAAAACGTTTACACATGGATGATCTACCCTGCCAAATAGAGTGTCTTTATAGAATATATGCAGATCAAAGAAGTTTGGTTAACAAAACAATTTGGTAAATGGTCACACCCAGATGCTGATTCGATCACCAGTTTGGTAATTGCTAGAACTTCTGGAACTTTGACTTTCTAGAATAAAAAGATGTCGATTTCGGTTTCACAGACTCCTTTTGCTTTGTCTTCGGAAATCTTGACCATTCCGCAATTGTTATCCTTCATTTCTAAGATACTAATCTGGAATGTTTCATCACCTGGTGGCCTTCATTCTCGCAGCATGAGTTTTCCGGATGGAAGTGGACAATTATTCTACACAACCATTGGAACACAATGAGCGGAAAAAATATAAATACGCCCTCGTCATTTTCCACCTACACCAAAATCCCATTTCCAAGCAGTATTACCTCAAAGAATTTGGCCAACAAAGGCATCCAAAACATATAAAGCTTGACATCCTCTTGTCTCATTCCATTAACACTTCAATACTTTGACTTTCCACAAGCATCCCAAAACACACACTCTAAACTAGTGGAAACTTTTGCTATGTCGCCTCGTACAAATCGTTCCGCTCTCACCAACACTTCGGTCGAAATGGACGAGAAGTTTGATCTGAAAGTTGAAAAGTTTGTCTCACAAATACCATTAGATGAACTGTGCAACCCCGAAAACAATTATCAACCTGTCTTGCCGAAAAAGTCGGGAAAAAATTGCGATGTCGCCAGGGCAGCGAATAGTTTTTTCCAGTTCAAACCTGTGGTCACCCAGTACGCCATTAAACACAAAATCAAGGGTTATAACGATCAGAGCATATTGTCAAAGGCTCAGTCAAGATTGTGGAAGAAACTTTCGGTGGCGCAAAAAGAACCCTTTAAAAGATTATACGAAGAGGCCGTGGAGTATCAAAAGAAAAACTTCCCGGACTACAAATTTAAACCACAGAGACAAAAATCCGACCTGAAAATAAAAAAGATGAAACAAACAACAACTCACAAAAGGAGGAATAGAAAATCAGCGGACTCGGACACCGACTCATCGGGTGATCAGCTTTTCTCGCCGATAACCGATGTCTCGAGTTTTGAGTTGAATGAGGTCAATTATGGCATCAACACTGATTTTCGACAAGAGGATGTCACAAGTACTACTAATGTCAATGCTTTCTACCCCGCCAACACCGAAGTTCACTCGGCCAACATTCAACTACAAATCCCATCTTTTTCCTACGATATTTTAGACTTTGGTGATGGTAATTTGTCACAAGATAGTGGTGTGTTCTTATCTTATGGCAATGAACTTTCTCCCGTCAGCCCCGCTTCATCGGATGGATTTATTTTTCCTAACTCCGGCGCATTTTCACCAGCATTAAGTTGTTCGTCATCGTTTACAGATGAAAGTAGTAATGGATTGAGTACGGTGCAGTATGGGGATAACATGATAATGTTCATGTGTGGGTCACCGGTGATGGGAGAAGATGTTACGGGTGCCGATACTTCGATCATATCAGATCTTTCAAACATGTCACTAAACCAACAGCAATTTTATACCGAAGAAAATGTGTACACGCCTTCATACAACGGCTACTAATATTCCAACAATCAACTACATCTATTATCACTATTATTATTATCATCACTATTAATATTGAACGGCATTAATGAACAATCGCACATTATTTCTAATTTTCATTTTTTTTTTTATATATACCATTTTTTGACCATTTTTTTTCTTTTCAATTTTTTTTTTTTTTTTTTAGAGATTAAATTGTTAGACGTCTAGAGTTAGAGATTTCTTTTCTTTTTTCCTATGCTAAGATTATATTAAGGAAGATAGCATGCAATATGTAATCATTATGCTTTCATATGAGCGCGCAATAATAAAAACAAAACAAACAAACAGCTTTTAAAAGCACATTTAAGATTGAAATTAAGATTTGAAGTCTCAATTCATGTTTCCATGTATCGCTTAATATCATATAAAAGTTGTAAAAAATAATTGCTCGTAAGTTGGACCTAATACGTCACTGCGTCCTTGTTAAGACGAATTTGGCAACGCGACAAATAGGAAAAATCATACCCAACTTGGGCATTGGGATGTTGATTCAGGTCTTTCCGCGATACGGGTGCCCGCGAAAAGGCGCCGGATTAGTCGACATTCTTTCTAACTGTGCGTGAGAGGCTACCAGAAATAAAAAAATGTTCCGATGTCTATCTAACAATTAAAATAGTATATTCAAAGGACTTTTTCGAGAACAAGAAGGGATAAACCTGACGCACAGACAATTCCGGTTTTCTTTCATACATTCTATTTTTGAACTTTCTATTACCGAGGGCATCAGGAGTTTTAATTTCTTTTTGGAAAGGGTAATTTGAAATGGATTTCCACGACCCTCTTCTAAATTCCATATATATATATATATATGGGGTGCATGTGGGTAGTACACAAGTCACAGTGGAATGAATAGGAATATCTTTGGAAAATACAATGCAGACACAAACATTCATATCCATAATTACTGTTGATAGTTGATATTGTTGTAGTCCGTATTATCATGCTAATGTTATCTTTTTTTTTTTTTTTTTTTTTTTATGATCTTCCAGATTTGCATCCATATTTAAATTCCCATTTATCTTCCTAGTCGAAAGTATAAATAAACTACGGAATTATACTGTATAATTTATACGGCTATTGTTTCGTGGAACTTTTTAAAAAAAATAATTCAAAACACAAGCTAGTTGACATGTCTCGTAATCATCTCATTTATGATATCTAAATATAATAATCACTTTATTGACAAATAAATGATAAGCATGTTAATGAAATACAGTAAATTCATTGTCAAATTTTATACTGATTTTCGACTTTATTTAACAAACCATGGCACATCGATTTAAATGAATGTAAATACGAATCAATCTTATATTGCTATTGCCAAATCCCTTTTCAATCAACGCAATCTCATGATCAAACGGACTTCATTCATTGGTGTTTTAAACTTTATAAGGTTTTGAAATCTCATTTTCTATTTGAATTATATGAAAAAAATTTTTATTCAAATTTAAATTATATAAGCAACAATATACTGTATATGTGTGTATGTGTATATTTAATATCCGATTATAATTGATTTAAAAAAATTTTAAAGAGATGCATATATTTTTGAAAAATTAAAAATAAAAATAAAATGTATTCAATTTTATTTATACATAGGTTTACATCAATACTTTATTGCGTTTTTACTATGGTTAGAAATACTGTACATATATGGTTAAATTTAAAGAAATAATTTGTATGTTTGATTGAAATAATCGAAATACATGTACAATGTATATTATAATAAATAAAAATATATATTGTATTAAATATTTTTAATGATATCGATTAAACTTAAATTAAAATAGTTAAAAAAATATATATTATACCTGTTTTTATATATCTTGTCTATTTTAAATTAGTTTATAAAAACCTGTTGGTTTTTAGAAATATATATTATTCCTTAAATTATAATTTATTTTTTTAAATAATCAAAATATTTTTCTAAAAATTTATATAATATCAGTTTTAATTATATATTAGCTATTAATTGGTATTTATTTGTTATTTATTTAATAAAAATTAAAAGTTTTATTACAAGCAAATTTTAAATTAAAGTTCATATAATTCATAAGCAATTTTGTAAAATTATTTATAAAGAATAATTTTAATTAAAAATAAAATAATTTTTTTACCTTAAATACTATATCTACTAAATTTTATATTAAAAATTTAAATACAAAGTTTAAAGTTATTTATTTTAAAAATTGTTAATAAATTTAATTAAAAATATCTTAAACTATATTTATTATAATATAAGAAATTATAAAAATTAATATTTAAAATTTTTTAAAAACTTATTAAAATTTTAAATATGTAAACAAATTTGTGTATATTATAATTTAAAAAA